TCTTTTGCCGAGTGAACCACAAAAGAACAAGTAATTAATACTATATTTCTCTGAATCAATTTTATGCGTCGTGCATTAGTATTCTGAAATATGTAACAAGTTCTGTTCTTTAAATCTCCGCAAACTAAAGAAACCATTCTTGTATTTACAAAAAGGCTCTGAAATTTGTTTACTTTTTAGGTATGGTATTGAAGAAGCCATCAACTCAATTGTTGTATATGAAATTGAAACCTATTTTTGTGGATGGTGTTGGTGCAAATAATCTTGTATGAACATTTTTTGCATACATAGTCCAAATAATGGAGGATCTGAATATAGTAAGACTGTCGCCTTTGAGGACTGGTCCCGTGAAGTCCACATTGTCAGGAAGATCAACTCCTCGAGGATCACCTTCCTTCAGGAGATTGAACTCTGGACGTACCCCACGAAGAGATGGTAAAAGCAATGCTTTCAGTTCTCAGTGGTTTAGAAGTAACCGCATTTTACTTTGGCTGCTTTTGATTACTCTTTGGGCCTACGGAGGATTTTATGTCCAGTCAAGGTGGGCCCATGGAGACAACAAGGAAGGCATCTTCGGAGGATCTGTAGGCAATGAAACTTCTCAACCAGAGGAAAAAGTTGAACGAATTCTAGTTGCAAATGAGGATTCTTTAGCAATCAAGGCTTCAAGTAATAAAACAATGGCCAATTCAAGGGATATGGATGTCGTCTTGGCCAAACAGGGAAACAGTATGGTGGTATCGGACAAGGTTGCATCTTCTAAGAAGAAGAGCAAGAAATCTACACGTGCTTCTCGTAGGAAGACTCGTGGAAAGAAGAAGGTGGTAGCGGAAGTCAAAAATGATAATGCTGAAGTTGAAGAGGAGGAAATACCAAAACGAAATACTACCTACGGCCTGCTTGTTGGTCCATTTGGGTCAATAGAGGACAAGATTTTGGAGTGGAGTCCTGAGAAGCGGTCAGGAACCTGCGATAGGAAAAGTCAGTTTGCCCGTCTTGTTTGGTCTAGGAAGTTTGTGCTGATACTCCATGAACTCTCGATGACTGGAGCTCCACTTGCCATGTTGGAATTGGCGACTGAGCTTTTGAGCTGTGGGGCCACAGTTTATGTAGTACCTCTCAGCAGAAGGGGTGGTCTGATGTCAGAACTATCTAGAAGAAAGATCAAAGTGCTAGAAGACAAATCGGACCTCAGTTTCAAAACGGCCATGAAAGCAGATCTTATTATTGCAGGCTCTGCAGTGTGTGCGTCATGGATAGGTAAGCGCTTTCACATATACTATCATCACTGTATCTATCTGCTATAGAGTTCCAATGTGGCAAGTTGTGCTTGTATTGTGATCTTCTTCACCGATAGAACAGCTGCAGCATATCATGTTCAATTGGTAGATCTGCATATTATTCACTTTACCATACTCCACTAATGCTACTTTTAATGATCCTTATACATTTGGTCCACTAAGTACCACGCTCTAAGCTATAATCCAAAATTTTCGATTCTCATTATTTCATTAAAAGATCCATTTTTTTTCCTAGTTTGCGATGCAATCTTCTTGATAGATCTTTATTGATCAATTCACTTCTGTTGCTTCATCAAGATTCTTTTTTTTTTTTCTTTTGGCTGTGCTAGCTTTAGAGTCTTAATTTCCTTGATTTAGCCGTAATAAACTCCATGAATTTGCTTCTGTTCTTTTCTTTCTTTGCGTGCCTTGGCTAACTTCTGACAATTAATATGTCGCTTTCAGAACAATACGCGGCACGTACTGTGCTAGGTTCAAGTCAAATTGCTTGGTGGATCATGGAAAACCGGCGGGAATACTTTGATCGGGCAAAGCTAGCTTTCAACCGAGTGAAAAAGCTTGTCTTTCTTTCTGAATCACAGTCTAAACGCTGGCTAGCATGGTGTGAGGAAGAACATATAAAGCTGAAAACCCAGCCCGCACTGGTTCCGCTTTCCGTTAGTGATGAACTGGCTTTTGTAGCAGGCATCCCGTGCTCACTGAGCACTCCACTATTCAGTCCTGAGAAGATGCTGGAAAAGAGGCAGCTACTGAGAAATTTTGTTAGAAAAGAGATTGGGTTGACAGACAATGACATGCTTGTCATGTCATTGAGTAGTATAAACCCTGGAAAGGGTCAGTTTCTGCTTCTTGAATCAACACGTTTGCTGATTGAGGGAGTTCCTCCTCTAAATGGATCTGCTGTTAAAAGTCAAGCTTATCAGAAAAGGGCATTGCTTCATAATTGGAAACAATTTGGTGAACTGGAAAACGAATCTTCTACCTTGGAAAATAGCCCGAAAAGGAAAGTGTTTCAGCTACCGCAGCTGTTCATTAAGGGAGTTAACTATGAAGCTGGAATTGACAAAGATAGCAGAACTCGAAAGCTTTTCTCGGTGACTGAAGGAAAGCAGGGAGAGAAGCTTAAGGTTCTTATTGGCTCAGTTGGATCCAAGAGCAATAAGGTGCCTTATGTTAAAACGCTTCTCAACTTTCTAAATCAGCATTCTAACTTGTCAAACACGGTACTATGGACTCCAGCAACCACTCGTGTCGCTGCACTTTATGCTGCTGCAGATGCTTATGTAATGAATTCTCAGGTGAGCCTTTACTACTCTATCTAACTTAATTACGGCTCAGTTTCAGGAAATGTAGAATGGCTATGCTTTTGTTAGATATTAATATTAAACAAGAGTGTAACAGGGAAGTTTATGTAACAGTGAGAAGGTGAAAAAGTAAGAAATATAGTTTCTGCTTTTAGAAAGAAGGTCAAGTGAACTGGATAGATGAAAAAGAAAAAGATAATATAGGTCAAGTAAGTAGACATGGATGGCGTAAAAAAGAAGATACATATATCAAGATTAAATAACCGATTGAATGATGGTTTTACTTTTTGAAGAAGAAAGGTTAAATATAGTTTGAGAAGTGAAGAACTAAGAAACAATATATTTTCTTTTTTGATGAATAAAGTTACGTACTAAGAAAAGAGATTCTGATTTTAGCTAGAACTGTGAGTAAATCGGACTGGAAGAGAAGAAAGAAAGTAGGTCAAGTAAATAGACATAGATAGAGAGGGCAGGGGTTCCTTATTGTATCTATGCTCTGCATATCTAAATTATCTTCATGATTGGTGATACTTAGATTGAAATGAATTGAAAGTACAGTAGGGCTCTGCTATCTTGTAAAGAGTTCTCAGTGAATGTAAAGATTACGCAGCAACATGAATCTTTTTGCTATAATGAGTACCAAGTAATGGCATTTGAGCAGTATAAATTGTGGGTCTCCCAATGAAATTGACAAGCCGGGTTAGCTGGCTTGCTTGTATCCCTTTATGAATTCAACTTGGGTGTGTATGAGGCGTCGTGCTAAAGGGCGTGGATTTAAAAGAATTTTTTATTCTGTTTACGACTAGTTCACTAGAGGGAAGAAGATAGAATGTACTGGTTCATTTGATACTTCTTTTTCTTGAGTCATGGTTGCTTAGTTCAATTTCTAGCTAACACATTTTAATGTAACGGTTGCTTACTATTTTTGCAGGGACTTGGAGAAACATTTGGGAGAGTAACAATTGAAGCAATGGCATTTGGTCTTCCTGTAAGATTCTCAATTCCGTCCTGCCAATAGTATATTGTCGTCACCTTTAGATAATGCATGTACTTGCCTGCCGTAAAAGCAGTCATGTTTGGGAATCCTCTGCTCTTAATTAGTCGGTATGTTTACAATGAACAAAAACAACAGAACGCAAGACTAAAATAGCGTCCCCGAAAAAGCAGTCATGTTTTGGAAATCTCTGCTGTTAATTAGTTGGTATGGTTGCCTATACAAAACCTGCACTCAAGTATAGAACTGCAAAAATTTGTGAATCTTAAGTAAGTAGGAAACTCTGGCAGTTCTTTGTGTCATACATTCTTAGATTTAATCATCACAGAATCTAAAACTGTTTTGTGTTTTCCTTACTAAATCACCTCATTTTTAAAGATAGGGCTAAAGCAAGTGGATTTGGCGTATGATTATGATACAGGTGCTGGGAACAGATGCTGGGGGCACGAAGGAGATCGTTGAACATAACGTAACAGGTCTTCTTCATCCTTTGGGACGTCCCGGCGCTCAAGTTCTGGCCCAGAATCTTCAGCATTTGCTGAATAACCCATCAGAAAGGCGGCGAATGGGAAGCAATGGAAGAAAGAAGGTAGAAGATATGTACCTAAAGAAGCATATGTACAAGAAATTCGGAGAAGTATTATACGACTGCATGAGAATAAAATAACACCGGATGTAGGGCATTTTTCATTCTTTTTTGATTGTACAATTTTCCAGTACTGCTGTTGGTCTTTCCACTATCTTCTTCCCCGAGAAAACCAGATTAAGAGTCAACGTCTTTTGTACAGCACGAAATTTAGTCAATGTTTACTGATAGAGATCCGACTTCTTTTAGATTTTACTTTGCCAAGTTGTCCAATTTGCCTGAAATATGTTCTTCAGTTGGCTTTCAGAAGGCCATCAGATTAAACGTTAGGGAAAAGGTTTAAACTTGTTCTTCTACTATCTGAAATCATTCAATCTTACCCGTGGGTGTGGGTGCAGTGGCGAAGCCAGAAGTTTTACCAAAAGGATTTAAAAAGTAAACACAAGAACAAGGTAAGAAGTTTTACCAAAAGGATTTAAAAAGTAAACACAAGAACAAAGTAAGGGGATTCAACATCTATTATTTATACATAAAAAATAATTTAAACTTTATATATACAATATAATTTTTCGGCGAAGGGAATTTTGAACCCCCTTCCGCCACCCTAGCTCTGTCCCAGCCCTAGGTCCATTCATAAATCATAATTTGGGTTATAGTTTGGTCCATTGATAGATCTCTTGCCATTAATGGAACTTTTGCAAGAAATGGGTGTGCTTCACGTGTCAAAATACTTAAATGAAAACTGTTCAAATTTTCCGCTTTACTTTTTACTATGATTTAAAATTATGTTATTTTTTGAGTTGGATGGATCTCCATCAGGGGTCAAGCACAACCAGATTTTTCTCTAAAAGGCAGGTCAAAATTACATTCACTATAACGAAATACTATATGCAAATGGTATGGTGGCAAATTTGACACTTACTCAAGTTGGCAAATGAAATACTATATGCAAAATCTTTCTAATTTTCTAACTGTACAATAATAAACACAAAGTGGTAGAACCTTAAAAATGTTACATCTCGAGGCAACAGCCAGATTGAACATGGCCGGAGAAGTTTACCGGAGTATCCATTTTTGTCCACTTGTAATTCTGTAAATCCAGAATATAAGTGTTATGGGGCTCATTAAATCCCATAGAACCAGTCATCAGAATTTTGCCCCGCCACGCTGTCACAAAGGCTACGTTCCGGAGTTCCGCCGGAATCGCTGCCGCAACTTGCCACGTGGAATCTCGGAGTGCCAGTAAATCACCGTCGCGGCACAAGTACAATTTTCCGTCACCACCCTCAACACAAGTTCTCGGACACGTGGCAGAGTCAAAGAAATTTTCATTGACTGGGTCCCACTGCCACGTGGAAATGTTAAATGACTCGGCAGTTGTCCCAAACCGTCCTTGCATGCTCGTGTCATATCCGCCCATGACGTGGAATTTCCCTTCAGAAAAAGTGCATTTACATTCATCTCGTTCGCTAGCCATGTCAGGCATACGGACCCACTCATCACTTGCCACGTCATACGCCATCGCCGATTTAAGTGCGTTCTTCTCCTCGTCATGCCCACCTGCAACGTACACCGTCCGTTCAGAATCCGACGCACAGCCAAAAAACGATCTCCGGCAACCTGGCATTTCAGCTCCCCGTCGCCACGTGGCAGTCACAAAGTTATAAACAAAAACGGCGTTAGAAGGCTCCCAAGTAATAGGGTTCCAGCCGCCAATTACCACTAAGCTCAACCCAACTCCGACAAGCTGGCAAAACATCGGCAGTCCATCGGAGTTGCCAGGAAGCGGTGGTAATTCGGCCCAATAACCCGAATCCGGCTCATAAAGCGTTAGCCTGTAAACTGGAAAAGCTAAGTATTTGGATGACCCGAGTTTTATTTTCGGGTCATCAATTCGGGCTTGGGCCATTAAAATTACTTGGCGGGTGAAGCCAGTAGCTCTTCTTAGCTTCCAAAACTCTGGAAGCCCAATTTGGAGTTTCCAATTTCGGCAGACGGATGTAAAGGACGAGAAATTATCGTATGGGACGCGGATAAGACATTCGAGTCCGATGTCGTAAGGAAGACCGGGAATTAGCTCCATGGTTTTAAGTCTTAGAGACACAGAAAAAGTAAGATAAGTAACTGGATTTTATAGAACAGGCAGAAGAGAAAGAGAGAGAGAGAGACAAGGAATAAAGAATTAGTGGAGGGACCCTTAAGGCATACATAATGGGATGTTTTTTTCACATTATTTTGATTGTAGAGTTAAATTGCGTGTTACTTTGGTTCCGAACTCGCAAAAGGAGAAAGCTTAAGCTTCTAGAAGGAAAGTGATGTTTGGGACTAGAGTAGCATTCAATTTAGAGAGGGACCATGTCTCATACTACTTTTCTTTAGTGTTTGGACTTTTCCTGGGACATTTTGGATCATCCTTTTTATATATGGGCGTGAAAGAATTATTCCATCTTTTCAATTTATGTGAACATATTTAAATAAATCAAAATAGGGTCCAGTATATTTGTGTAGTTGTAAAAGCTTCTCGTTAAGGGTAGAATTGGAAATTTAAGCTAAAGTGTTTCCAAATTTAGAAAGGATTCATTTTTTTGAAACGAACCAAAAAAGAAATAAATTTACTGGAACGAAGGGAGTACGTAAGACCTGGTTAGTGGTTACGGTCATGCTGTAATATGATACAGTATTATTATAGGACACTTTTGACTTCTTCTAGAAGGAAAAGGACCAGAATATTTTCTTCTTTTTCTTTTGTGCCTATGACGGATTTGTTGAGTTGGCTATTTTCAAATTAAATAAATGGTGAATGAATAATCTACCTAGTGTACTACAAAATATTTGATGATTTTTGGTAAGGGTGTATAAACCGAACTGGAAACCGCATCAAACAGAAAAGTCAAACAAATCGATTAAAAGATCCGATGAGGTTTGGTTTGATTTGGTTTGGTATTGAGTAAAAAAATCCGAACCAAACCGACATATAAATATATACTTTTAAGAATTTATAGAGAATTTTCCTTAAAAAATATTTAAAAATATTTGCGATTCTCTTATTGATGTAGTATTTAATAGAATATGAAGTGCTCCATTTTTATTAACTTTAAATAATGTGTTGTATGATCACTTTCTTATTGGGTGTTATTGAAATGCGCCAAACTCTTTGTTTTTCATATTCATATGTTAAGATCTATTATATTATTATATCTTTTTCGGATTTGAAGTGGCATTTCGATAATTAAATAGAACATATCATTATTTAGGTATCATATTGATTTTATGTTTAATTATTAAATTCGATTAACTTTGAAATGTACATCAACAGAAATTTATTGTTAGACAACTAAAAAAATAACTATCATGTGTTACTAAGAAAATTCTCTCATTTGAATATTTTAATAGATCATATGTTTGTCAATTTTTTAAATTTTTATTAAACATATAATTACTTATAAATAATTTAACAAATTAAGATTGCCATATTATTCATCTAACAAAAAAATCCGAAAATCCCGAAAAATCCGATAAAATTGAACCAATCAAAACCAATATAAATGATTGGGTTTGAAATCGAACCAGCCCGGTCCATGTACACACTATTTTCTACATCCTGCGACTGAATTATTATCACTCTTGGTTTTTGCAAGTTCAATAATATTGACTTGTTAAGGTTGGGAGAGCATCTTTCAAGTTTCAATAAATAACTTTGGTCACAACAATAAAACAAAAATTCAAGTATTCAACATAAGATGAATTCTTTCGATGGCAATTTTCTTCTTCTTCTTTTAAAGATAATTCGTGTTTATTCTTTTCTTGTTGTCTAGCAAAGGCGAATAATTGAAGCAAAGAGTTGTATACGGAACGTCGTCAAATAGCTAATTAATAAACACTTATAAATAGAATCAGAGGATTAGTTTTTAATAGCAATAGGAATTGTGAATTTTATAATTTGCACGTCAATAGGAGTTTTTAATAGCAATATTTGTTTACCTCGAAATACGAGTAATAATTAAACTTGTAATGTGGTTATAATGATACGTGATCTGATTCAACGCCAATTGATAAATGACTAGATAAATAAATGAATTAAATGATTAAAATGAATCAAACCAGTGCAGTTGCAAGCTATCGTCCTCGATTGGAACAGGCTCGAGATCAAGCGTTAAGAACAATAAGAATAATAGTAAGTTATAAGCAAGTAAAGAGCAGTGTATTGTTATTTCTTAGTCAGTCTGCCTTTACAAATGAACAGGATTCCTCTTTATATAGTAGAGGAATCCTAAATAAGGTATAACTCTAATTTCGGAAGTAAAATCCATGATTGGTATCAATAACCGTCAGCGATTCTGTCGGTTCCGAGATTCACGCCACGATTCTCGACCAATCACGGATATCTTGCTTTTTTTGTTACTAATCTATCCCCGATGTTACTCGAAGTCTATCTCCCCTGGCTTCAATTGATACCAACCCCGATCTCGAAAGAGACTTCGATCTCGAACTCGATGCCTTAGCTCTTCGATGCAATGTCCTTGTTTCGATCAAATAGTGAAATATGGTAGCCCCGATTTCTACCGTATACAGATTGTCCCCCCGTTTTTTGGAGTGTAATGACAAGAAACGAATTGAGTCTTCGAGCTTCTTTGCTTGTTCTTCCCGAAATACCAAATATTCCAATCTTCATTTTTCCTTGCTCACGAAAACAAAATGGCAAAAACATCTAAAGGTGTTCCGCAAAAGGAAACCGCTCAGGTTCGGGCCAAGGAGCACACAAATACTCGGGGCTTTGTTCTTTCGACCGAGATCGATGGACCCCGAATGACCATTAGAACTATAGTTTGAGTAGCTCTTAGGTTTAACAGTCGAGTGAGGATTTGCTTTGGATTTGCTTACTAGAAGTAAAGTTAGCCCTTAAGCTTTATAGATAGTCCCCGAGTGAGTGTTTGCTCGAACTCGGGTTAAGGTAGCCCTTGGGCTTTTATGATCGAGTGAGGATTTGCTCGAACTCGAAGTAAAGTTAGCCCTTAGGCTTTATAGATAGTCCCCCGAGTGAGTGCTTGCTCGAACTCGGGTTAAGGTAGCCCTTGGGCTTTTATGATCGAGTGAGGATTTGCTCGAACTCGAGGTAAAGTTAGCCCTTAGGCTTTATAGATAGTCCCCGAGAGAGAGTTTGCTCGAACTCGGGTTAAGATAGCCCTTGGGCTTTTATGATCGAGTGAGGAATTGCTCGAACTCGAAGTAAAGTTAGCCCTTAGGCTTTATAGATAGTCCC